TAACGTATAATAAAACGATGTATCCAAATGTATCCGAAATTTGAGGCACAGGAAAACGAGTGTCCCGATTGAGGAAATAGCGCCCGTGCAAACTTTTTAAGATTAAAATCCTCTTCTGACAGATATTTGTAAGAATGTAACGAACTTCCTGCTTTAAGCAGGTTCCTATAAAAGTTATCTGCAGCAAGGCCTATTCATTCTACTTGATTTTTGGAAAGTTTGTATGCACAAATCTGTGTAAACAAGTTACGCGGATCGGATAAATATTCTTCGGGAGTCTTAGGTTGGAGAGCCCTAGCTTATAAAAACAATGACAATAATTAATTTAGCGGGTATTTTAATATATTCTGGAGAAGGATTGTATTTAATTGGTAACGCAACCCATCGGTAATTTGCAAAAAGGAAAATACCTCACAGAAGGATTTTCAATATTTTTGCTTTTTGTATTATTCAGAGCAGCCATCGCTTCATCTCTCCTCGACTGTAGTAGTTACAGAAATACTCGCACGAGGTCGATATTATCGCTTTTATTTCCTCATAGGGTATCTATAAACATCTCGCTGAACATTTATCTGGGTGTAAGAGTGCAGCAAACTAGAGATCGAGATGAACCGATTCGTCGGTAAATAAAGGTGGGAGAAGCAAAATTTTGATTTTTTTAGAAATACATAATAATTAATAGGGTTCACCATTTTACGCGAATTTCTAAGTAAGCGAAAAATCATGCAACTCATTAGCCGCTTATGGGGGTGCTATACTCCACATTTAATTATAAGAGATGGCAATACGCAGGACAGAATCTCAAAGCTACAGCGAATGTCTGTCAGCGTGGAAAATACTTTTACATAACACACATTTTTATTGTATAAAAACAACAGCCGCAAATAGATTTGAAAGACAACCGGCATAATATATCTGATTATTCATAGATTTTCAGATAAGTCAATATACTCTTTTAAAACCTATAAGAATATTGTCTAAGAATGGATAAATCAGATTACATCAACGTTCCTGCAATAAATAAACTTAACCCGATTAACAACAACTAAGATTTAACGTTATCACACTATCAGAGTGGTGTTATGTTGCTATATAAACGTTCTTATCGATGCCGACACTCCAGTACTTAATAAATTTAACTTTCTTATCAGTAATTTAGTCTTTCTCTTCATAATCAATCGTATTGTCTAGACGTTAAGATTTCTTTTTATATTATTTTTTCTCATTCATATTAGTTTGAAAAGTATTTATTTTTTATTATTTTTCTTAAATTATATTTGAAATTCTGCGTAATACCAAGAATAATGTGAAAGCTGAAGATAATTTTTTACGTTTTAATGTGTTCATTTAAAATAAAATCATATATTAAATTATCGTCCAGCTAACAGATTGCTATCTTCATCTGCTAGAATGTATGAGATACGTTGTGTTTAGGTTATTTTTTCTTTTCTCATTGTTACTATTATAGGTTATTCGTAATATTAAAAATAAATGTGAATTCGTTACTCGAACATATAACAAATCATTTCCATATAAAGAAGTTATGATCTTTTTAAATATTTTACGTTTAAGCATTTGAACGAACATCAACTTAAATAATAATAACTTTATAAAGATTCTTTTATTAAGGAAAATAAAACCTTCAACGTCCAATTACACAGCGTGTCCATAAAGTCCGTGTGCAATTTAAAAAATTTATAACTTTATTGCTCTTTGTGATAGTAACAATCTATAAAAAGTATTAGAAAGCTTAATGCACTTAGTTTTAAGTAAAAGTATTTAGACAGTTTCTAAATCAGAAATATTTTAACAGATGGATCGGAAGTGGTGGATTATTTTCTTGGCTTCTACGTTCCTTCATTAAATTTTTTATGGGGCCATGTGAAAACAATAGTTTATGCAACGAAACATCGTTCGTTAGAAGACTTGAAAGCTAAAATAACTGATGTGATTTCACGCATTACTGTTAACAGTGGCAAGTTTCTGCACCGGCGCACGAGGCGCGCGCCTGGGGCCACATAAATCAAGGGGCTTCAAATTCAGTTCTCAAAATAAAAAGATATTATTTTATTTAATTTCGTAATAAAAATAATTAATAATTTAGCAGTATTTTCTAAGTTAAATTGACAAATGAATAACGCCAGCTTCGTATATTACTAGATTTTTTTTTGTTTTTGTTTTTAACACATACCTATTGAAACTTAATAATTTTTGTACCAATAAGTTTCAATTTTCATAATTAATACAATCTGAAAACATCAGTAATCGTTTAAATACAGCCAGGAAGTTGTAATTTTATATTGGTTGATTTTTAATTTTATTGGATCAGCAATATAGCGCCTACCCGAATAAAAAACATGCGCGTAGAATGTACAGTACACTGTAAGGTGTAGTGAAAATATTAGAAAGTGGGCTCAAAATTAAATAGCGCCTGGGGCCTCTCAAGCACAAAATCCGCCATTGATTGTAAATTGATTGGCAAATGTTTTTAGAGAACTACATAGTCGTGCTACCCTTTCGATTACTAATGATGGTGGACATGTGGAAACTTAATAAAATACAATAAAACTATTAAAAAAACATAGGTGTTTTTATATCCAATACATTCTACATAATTTCTCTATCACAAATACTAATAAAGTTATAAAGATTTTAAATTGCCCACGAACTTTATGGACACTCTGTATAAGACAAGCGCGACGTAATTAAAAGCAAAATCCAAGTCAATAGCATTAAATCGTAAGTAGGAAATAACGAAAACACAAGTGGACATCAAGAATGTAAACACGGGGTTTATAGATGTTTTCGTACATATTCTGATCCGTTGAATCTTAATTTATATGTCCGAGTGAAGATTCTTATCAGTTTCTTGAGGCATGTTTTAGAGTTTGGCTGCTGATGTGAAGGGAGAGTTAATTTGAATAAAACATGTTTTCGCCAGAATTTATTTTTACATTTAATATTTTAAATAACACATTTTATCTATTTCAAAAGTTAATAATTATATCTTTGATGAATTTTGTGTAAACAAAATTGTTTATATAAAGTTTAGAATTAAAGTCGACTCTTTTTAAGTTGCTGATTTGACTCTAAATNTAATTATATCTTTGATGAATTTTGTGTAAACAAAATTGTTTATATAAAGTTTAGAATTAAAGTCGACTCTTTTTAAGTTGCTGATTTGACTCTAAATATATGTTTTTAAAAATATATACAACTACTGTATTTTACAAAAACCGATATTAATTTAAAGAATTATAAAGCAATATAAAGTGTCCCGTAAGATAGGAACTACATCTAAAATACGTGTTTACACATGTTGCAATGGGTCAAGTTTGATACGATTACAATACTTTCCCGTGTTGTATTATAACAGCGGAAAAGTAGAACGAGGTTAATAGTTTTATTACTGCTCCATTCACCTAAAATAAAATTGTTTATAAAGGCCATCTTACTGTTGAAACGTAAAATGCTTAATCGTTAATTAAACTATTAATAAATGTCGACATCGTTACTCTTATTTGCCTTCCTTTTACAAATAATATGCAATATACAGAGTTGTTTTATATTTTGATTTTCTATACTCCATTTTATAGATAAATAGGAGCAAAACTAGGAAATATCGCCCGTGCAAACTTTTAAGATTAAATTTATCTTTCGACAGGTATTTGTAAGAATATAACGAACTTCCTGCTTTAAGCAGGTTTCTATAAAAGTTATTTACAGTAAGGTATATTCATTTTGCTTGATTTTTGGAAAGTTTGTATGCACAAATCGGTGTAAAGAAGTTAGGCAGATCGGATAAATGTACTTTGGGGCATACTATAGTCCACAGGCCATAGGTTGGAGATACCTGACATAAATATAATGCCAATTATTAATTAATCTAGCCGATATTTATATATATTCTGAAGAAAGATTGGATTGATGGTATGAGGCAATGCAACACTTAAACGATCCGCAAAGGGGAAAATGTTTCTCGGGGGACTTTCGGCTCTTTTTGCTTTTTGTATTATATAGAGCAGCCATCGCTCCACCTCTAACTCTCTTGTATTCATACTTCTGAATTTTAAACCCCTTGTAAATATTTTATAGATTTTAATAAAACATTTTTAAAATCTTTCGCAAGAGGTCAATATCAGCGCTTTGATTTCCTGATAGTGTATCTATAAACATCTCGCCGCGCTTTTATCTACGTATAAAATTAGTTTTCAATGTTAAATAACAAATCGTTTCTTCTTTACCAAGCTTTAAAATTTCACAATTATTATCCATTATTACTTATTTCGTCATCTTAATAATAAAATTTGTGTCATTTTTTAAATCTTCAACCAAGTTTGGTTGGAAATAACTTCTTCTTTCGCATTAATCTTATGAATGTTTCGAAAGTCAGGTTTATTCATTTCAAACTGCATTTTTGTTCATTTTTTCCTTGAAAAATAGCTTTTTTGCTGCGAAATTTATCACTTTATTACTGGGCTCCAATTTAAATAAATATACCCGGTACATCTATAAATTACTACTGTCGTCTATTTGTTCTTCTTTAATCTCGAGAACGGAGTTGATAGACAAAAGTACGAACTTTTTCATTCCAGGAGATTTGATTCACGAAACTGTGACGACTTTGCCCGCCTACGTATGAATTTTCCATAACTTGGCTATCCAATCGAAAAGTTGGTGCAACACTCTAGTTTTTAAAATTCCTTTCTATTTATGTTTATAATGTTTGCTTCGTATTTTTTATGATTTTCTACAAAAGAAATGCTTCAAAATTTGTTTTCAAGCAATGTAATGTCTGTAATTAATTCTTTCTCTTGCAGGAATAACAAAGAAGATTGGAGACTAATTAAATTATCTATTACATTTTTATGTGAAAAATTAAATTATAAATAAACGGAATTTTTACTTATGTTCAAAATGCTTCAAGTCATTCAGTATTGTTTGTAAATTACAACAACTTGAAAAAAAGAACATAATTTGTTATTTTACTTAACAGAAATTACAGAAAGGAATGATGCAATTACATTTCATTTTCAAATATTTTCATTAAAGGATATAATTTGAAGGATTAACACATCAGAATTACCCATTTACATTTCTTTTATTCCCGTTACTTGTAAAACTTCACATTTAATAAAGATTTCACCATTTTCTTTCTGAGAACAATATTTCAGAACTGTCGGTTCTGCCAACTTCCAAAGACGATTTCTCACTTCAGTTTCTATTCCATTGAAGATAATATCTGGCATTATTGCCAAATGCGTATCTACAAAAGAAAATTAGAATTTAATAAATTTAATTGTTAGAAAACAATTGAACGAGGGGAAATTATGTATTAGTTAAAACGAAGTGATATGGTATAATAGTTGAGCATCACTTAGTCCCAACACTCGAGCATTGACTTTTGTCGTCCTACAGAAGCAAATTCTTATGATTATAGAAATAAATTTAATTATAATATTTATGTGTTATAATGAACTTTTATATAGAATAGAAATTTTAAAAAGCAGTTTCAATAATTAAATTATGCCTGGTGTCCTTGTTCTTACTTGACAGTTTAATACTAACATAATTTTTAATACTGTAATTCATTTAAAATTTGACGACGGTATTTACATTTTAATAAAATGCAGAAACATTAAAGATACAAAATATCTTCGTATATACGACTTTAAAATAAGAAGGCATTTTGTATCGTCTATATTTTGTATTTTTTAATGCTGTAATTATTAGGTCCAATAATGGCCAACTTCTCGCTTACAAGAGTTACAATCTGTCACGTTTTTCTTTGTTAGTATTGTAATTTTATTGCAAAATTCCTCAAATCGCCACGTTTCACACATATAATATATGTAATTCATTATAGTTGGACATTTCATAAAACATATGTAGCAGTATTTTTCAGAAGTCACACTCAACAGAGTCTTTTAGATAGATCATTTATTACCTTTCTTAGCATTCTTTTTTAAATGTCGTAATTGAAAACAAAGAGAGACCAAAATAATGCTGCTCTAATCCATAATATACGAAAATAATTTGAATGTTATAAAATATTATATAAATGAATAATATTGAATGTGATGTGACAAAAGACTACTCTTGTTGAGTGGGACTTTCAAAAAAACAACTACACAAGTTTTGTTGAATAGAAGTAAAAAAGAAGTGAGTGAAAAAATTACAGTTGTTGTACGAGTACACGTTAGGTAATGTTACTAGAAAGCATCGTAAATGCTGCTTCATTATCTTGCGGTAAGGCTAACAGAGGCTACCTGTTATTTCATGTTTCTATCACTAGGCATATACGTACGACGAAGTCATAATATATAAATCTATATTATTAATATACAATGCAGTATATAAAATATTTACCTAAAAAATGCTTATTGTCAGCATAAAACACGTCAAAAACTTCACATTTACTATCTGTCACTTGAAGACCAAAATCAGAAAGAAAGTTCGTAAATTCAGTTGGTATATCCTTCCAATTCAGAAAAGGTGGAAGTGCAACAAGTATATCTTCTCGCTGTAATTGAGTACTATTTGAAATTATAATAAAATACTATTTGGAGCCAAAATGGTTGTACCTTTATGACCTTCGTCCATTCTTCTGTGTTGCTCAATTCTTTCAATATCGAAAATATTGGATTTTTAATGAAAAAAGTGAAGGAAAAATATCCACCGGGCTTTAGAATCGAATATATAACAGAAAACAATTTTCTGAAATCGGATATACGATGAAATACGTAGAAAGATACGATTTTATCATATTTTTCGATTTCTTCAGCATTTGGTCTGGAAATCATAAATTACAATAATTAATTTCTGCTTTTTGTTGCTAGACATTTTTTGTAAATTACGAATTTTGAAGCTTCTTTTATTATTATCGAAGACGAATTTCCTTAAAATTTGTGTCAAGAATTACATTTCATATTCTTTTCCAGTGTAAATACAATATTTACATTGCTGATCTTAAAAAATCAAGTATACAAATGGTAAAAATACTATAGCTACTCATTACATCGCTATTCAGATGTATCGCGCTTTTTTTCGTCTTCAAATATAAAAGTGCTTGAGCCAATAATTTAAAAAAAAAATTAGGTTGCCATTGTATCTTTACACGGAAAAATATCTATCTTCATATGATTTCAAAGGATATAATGTTTGCAATCAATTTTGTTTTGTCAACAAATATAAGGCACCTTAGCCAATAATTTAAAAAAAAAAAAAAGATGCCATTGAATTTCTACTGGCAAAAAAATATTACCTTATTTTATTATTGTTTGAAATATATCCACAAAAAGCAAGTCAACATAGAGATCGAAAATAGCCAAAACAGGTGGATAGATACATCTGTTGTATCACAATATCTGATATATCATTCATTTATTTTGTCTCCTGGCATGCATGATATAAAGAGTTACTGTATATATCAGACATGGCCAAATGCAGCTCTTGCTGAAAGTGTTAATTTCTGCTTTTTATTATTTTTACATTTTAATTCCACAATTTTGTGAAAATAGGTTTATTACAAAAAATTCAATATTTCTTTTATATTATATAATAAAATCACAGTACAGAATAAAAAAGTGCAGAACTGCGGCTCCCATGCATTTTGCAAAACCTACATTTTCAGCTCCCTCTGAACTCTTGCTTGCCCACCCCTGGTATATATTTATGATGTTATTTCTAATGTAAACTATAATCTACTGTACCAAAATTATTTTTGTATATAGAATGATTTTGTAAATTAGCAATTGCACAAATTCTATGAGTTCCAAAATCACTAACATTGATGAATTACAAAAATTTGTTACTCCTGTAATGCTTCATGTCAAAATTTCATTAACACTACACTGAAATACTGGTATATCCTAAATAAATAATATTCTTCTGTTTGAAAACATTTAATACAATTCATATATAATTCAAGAAATCAAGAGAAACANTATAATGTATGTAATTCATATATACGTAACAAATTGAATTTCAGTAAAATTGCAATGGCTGCAACTCGGTACAAACCGACGTAGCGTGAAACACGATATCACAAATCATTGAAATCTATAATATTAATAACTAATATAAAAGTTATAAATGTCGGTTTTGTGATTTTCAAATCAATAAGCAAGTCGACTTCACAAGAAGCTGTCTGCTGGACTATCGTTGCAGCTGAAGTAACAACTTCGATCATCTTCACAAACACCGGGATGAAAACAATACACAAGAAGGGATTATATGGAATTAAACAACACATAGGAGATTGATCAACATTTGCTAGAAGACTTTTAATGGAAAGTTGGTCCCTATTTACGTACTAATTACGTAGTGAAAACGCGCGGTCAAGTTCGAAAACTACGACCAACTACCAGTTTTAATGCTCTAGTTTTACCAACTTCGACACTAGTGGGCACCACTCGAAAGGAACATTTAACATTTAACGTAGATATATTTATTGATGTATTTTAGTAGAGTAGAACCTCGAAAACTCGACCTAATGTGGACCGAAGGGTGGCCGAGTTTGTGAAAATGCCGAGTTATCGGGAATGGGGTTAAAAAAATAAGTACGAGTATTTCCTCAGAAAATACTGTACTGTACTTGTACAGTATTTACTTGTACAGAATATAACAGAGAATAAACTGCCCAAATACCCTTAAACAAAGGAAAAGTACGTCCTTTATGAAGGCATAGAGCCTTTACTACATGAAAATGAAAATTAATGAATACACTGTGTACAGTAATTTACCTGATAAGACAGACCTCAGAAAAATACTTTGAAAGCTTTTATACTTTTATAAAGCTGTCTATAATGAAAATTAATTAACTAAGGATTTTTTCGCCCTGCCAAGGTGTGGACCAGTTATCCGGAGTGCTAAGTTATCGAGGGACGAGTTTTCGAGGTTCTACTGTACTAACAAAGTATATAAATTTAAGCAAAAATCAAGTACCAATGTAAAAATATTAATATGTTAAATTTGAAAGTTGAATAACTGCAGTTTACACATTTCGAAAAATTCAATTAGGGATGCAATACAAAGAAATCTTAGGAAAAAATCACCTTGAGACATAGATGTATTCGAAGTGAAAAGTATAAATTTGCATAATATTAACTTTTACCGTACATCAAGACGGTGTCCGTAATAAAGGAATGATTATAATACCCGTTATAATAGTTAATTCATGTTTCTAAATGTGAATTAGTTTAGAATACGTCTTAAATCAATAAGACGTATTCTAAACTGATTCATAGAAACATCAATATAAGTAATACAGAATTAGAAAATTTGATTAAAATTACGCAAGGGTTATTTATTTCAGCAAGACTTCTACATCGTTAATGCCAAAGAAACAAAATTAAAGGGCAAAATCAATAAATGACTATAAGTTCAAAAAGTAATATTATTTCAAAGCTGAAAATATGCACGCAGGCTGCATTTCCTTTACTTTTTGGAGCACCCTGTACAAACAAAAAAAATGAAATGCTTAATAATACTCGCAACAGAATCACACAATTTCTTTTGAAAATTGCCTACATGTTGAAATGACAGTGGCTTGGAAAAGTATTGTTGTTATACGCAGTCCAGTAACATTAATATGACTACCTGTCAAAAGCCAGAATGGGCCGCAAGGACATATGTGTACAGTACTTCTGTTGATCCATCGTGCCTTTCACAATGATCAGTTCACCTGGAGAATGCTACGAAAACATTTCCCAGACCATAATGCTCCTTCCTCCAGCTTGGGCCCTTGCGGCAATTGTTGCAGGGTGTTTGCTTTCTCATGCCTCATGCTGTATACGCTAACGTCCATCTGTTTGATGCAGCATAAAACGTGATTCATCGGAAAAAGTCACCTGTCGTCACTCGGTGAACGTCCAGTTGCCGTACTAGCGTGCAAATTCCAGCCTTTGTCACCGATGAACAGGAGTCAGCATAGGTGCTTTAACCAGGCGTCTGCTGCGGAGGCCCATATGCAGCAACGTTTACCGAACTGTCGTTGAGGAGACACTTGGTAGCTCCTTGGTTCATCAAGGCCAGTGTTTCTCAACCTCTAACGAATCGTCGCTCCCTTCGACGTAGTATCGTCCCCTTCAATAAAACCGTTACCTATTATCGCCCCCTTCACTTCAAAATTCCGATGCCGAGGACCAAGACTAACGCCAAATTCGTACTGCATTGAATAGACCATTGACTGGTATAATGTTATTTGTTTAATTATTGTACAATATAACGAATAAAATATCTAATTATTCTTAATATAATGTCCTACTATATCGCCCAGAAAATTGTTTTCGCCCCCCAAAATATAAATTGTTACTAATCGACCCCTGAACATAGAAAAACGCCCACATGGGAGCGATATCGTCCCCATGTGGGCGTTATCTCCCCCGTTGAGAAACCGTTCTTGTTATATCTCCCGTTGTTATGTTGTTATCGCCCCCGTTGAGAAACCGTTGATTAACTGACCGCCTAGATTCTAGGCGGTCAGTTAATCAACGGTTGTATGTTTATTTGCCCGAACACATCTCTGCAACTGTCGTTCACCTCTGTCGTCTATGGCCCATGATGTGAAATCAAACTCACCAAAATCAGCCATGTGGTGGAACATTTGCCACATCGCTGATTTTGGATAGTGCGATTATGCTATGCACGGTATACTTTTACCATGGCAGCACGCGAACAGTTTACAAAATTAGCTGTTTCGGAAATGCTTTCACCCTTGTTGGCCCGGAAGCTAATGATCATGCCCTTTTGGACATTGGATAAATCGCGTCGTACATCCATTACACCAACGATTGAAACGCTTACTTCAGATATCCTTCATATTCTCTCCACTGCAATATGTTGCTACGTGCCACCTGTGATTAGTTATTTCACATTGATGTCGACAGTAATGGTCACATTAATGTGATTGGACTGTGTATATCTGAACAAGGTGAAGTATTCAGTCTGCTTCAATGAATATTTAATTTTTATCTGTATCAACGGTAATATTGATGAAAGCCGTGAATCAGAACACATCCTCCCAGAATACAAGCTATGTGATAAACAAAAAAATTTTAAATCTGCTATATCAAGAAATCATTATAGCAAATTCGTTTCAAAGACACCATTGAGATCGTATTTTACAACTATGTTTGGAAAACATCATCAGAAACGGTAACTGATGACACAACTTTAATATCATTATTCCATGTAAAATCGATTAAACAATAAAATAAACACGTAAATCTATTGTTGTAGGGTAAACTTGCCTAATTCGTACCACTTCAGGAAAAACCATCATATTATCGAAATTAATAAACACAAATTATTTTTTATTTTAAGTAACTTTTATTTGGGAAATATTTTATCACTACCATAGTCAAATTTAGCATAAATCTTATAAACTTCTGAGAAATAAACAATTTAAAAAACTCTAAAAAAGTACGATTTAGGAACATTCGTCTTAAATCGTACTGATATATTCTTAAATCGTACTTTGAGATCCTATCATTGGTTTGCAGTCTTAAGAATAAAAATCTTTATCAATAATGTATTAATATGTGTGTATATTAACTCTTAACAAATTCGGCAGATGGTCTTCGCCAATTTTTGGCAGTCATCGCAGTTGTAATCCGTTGTTTTTTATTGGTTCCTGCGCAAAGTTCATGTACCCGTATCTCATATTGTGTGCATTTGATCATACTTTCTTTTACGTCTTCTTGGCATAATTTACAGTACCAACTGTTATTCTCATCTTCCTGTTTTTTTATTCTCCTTTTGTAATATTTTAGTAGTTTTGCTTTTTTTCGAACCAAGATTCTTTCATACGTTTTTCTTCTTGCAATTCCAAGAATACCACGTAGTGGAGAAATTATTTCAAATGTCGCTCGAACTGTCTCTGTATTAGAAATGTTTACTTTCCTACCTAAAGAACATTCCTTCGCTTTTTCTTCTAGACATTGATCTCGCTATTTTTCCGAAGGGTGAGTTGTTGGTACGCCGGGAAGTTGTGGGGACTCAACTTCTTCAGTCCATTCTTGCTCAGTAGTCTGATTGGATTGTGCCACACACGTTAAAGTATCTGTTTGTTCTTGCTGCCTTTCAGTTGCCAGACTCTGGGAGACTTTTGCCGATTCACTTAGATTAGCATCTTCGTCAAGAACGACATATTCCTCATCCCCGATCTTAAAGCGATTGCGAGGCCACAATCCTCAAGATTCGAAGCCATGCATTCCTGTGTCCATACAAATGGCTCGAGGATATGCTTTATTAAGGAACCAGGTTGCTTTGCATCTGCGATGCGCAAGCAGCACTAAAATTCAGTTTTAGTGATTTGAAAAATGACCTATCTAGTCTATTCTTTGATGTGTATTCATTTCTTGTAACTGTCGTCTAAATGTCAATTTCGGTACATTATATACACTAAAATTTCGTTAAATTATAAGGTCCCGTCATTATATTTTTTAATCGGTTCTTTCATATTTTCTTCACTCCAAGAATTATATTTTCTTTTTTGACACGTTGTTCTAAAATTAAAGACGATTAAGTTTTAATTTGTTTTGAACTTTTGTGGTTATTTTTCAAATCAGAAACTTAGTAAAAAAATAAGTTTACGAATCGGTAATAGCTTATTGTGACATTCATCTAAAATGGTTTTCCTAAATCGTACCAGTACGTTTTAAGAACATACCTCCAGTACGAAATAGGCGCAAGAGTCGAACAAACTTTACGTTAGTCGCCAAAAAATTTGACAACAGATACACATGTTTCATCACTTCAGATGAAATCACAAAAATACGCACTCAGAAAAAGTTGAAAAAAACTTTCCTTCTCAATATTTTTGTCGGGAGCAGAGTAACAGCGTGTTGTCTGTCAGATGGTAATATGACCGATTGTTATTTACTTCTTTTGCTACTAGAGACACTAATAGCTATTACGGGAGTGAAGATATAAGCGACCGATTGTTATTTACTTCTTTTGCTACTAGAGACACTAATAGCTATTACGGGAGTCAAGATATAAGCGAAGTACGAATTAGGCGCAAGTACGAATTAGGCAAGTTTTCCCTATAGTGCACAACTGGGTGCAGAGGTAGACATTAAGCATCTTTAACATCACTTTATTCAGATAAATATACCTAGTGTCTACTTATACACTTAGTTGTGAAGTATTGAATAATAAATTATAGAAGACAAGGTTTCGAAATATGTCAATAATGTAAATTTATGTTACTGTTATATAAATTTAAAACAATACCTTTGAAGGATGTCTCGCGTTTTAAATTCAATTTTTTCGTCGAAATATTTTTCTCTGGCGTACTCGATGTATTTAGGCATTACGTCTATGGCGACGATTTTCTTAAATTTTGGACATTTAGGTAAAAGAATATTTTTGGTAGTTCTTCCTGTACCGCATCCAATATCCAAAATGATATCCTCATCACACCATTCCATGGCTGGAAAGTGTGAATCTAAAGCTGATTCTACGTAGCGAAGGATTACTGCGGTGCTTAATCTTTCATAATCTTCAGCTGTTCCTTCCATATTTGCCTGAAATTTAATCAAATATATTTCAGGAAATTCAAAAAACGTAAAAAATGATTTCAGTTCGGATACCTCACACAGTTAAAACGCTCTATCCCAGTTGTCGAGCTTTTTATTCCCTACACGGTGAACCCACTGTAATTTAGGCGGAATCAATGAGGGATACGAAATAGGTTTTCTTAATGCCAACAGAAAGAGTTAATTTAAAAAAATTGAGGATTTGAGGAAGATGGAAAATTATGTAAGCTATCTAAATTTATAATATTCTAAATTGAATTCCATTTAATATTTAAAATATTTTTCTAGTAATTTTATTCAAAGTATACATTGAAATCAGCCCATTTGCTATGAATTCCGAATGATTTTAAATTAAATGTTTGGAGAGGTTTTAGCAGTCTAAATGCAAACGAGTCAGGCTTGGTGACATTTCAGGACTTGTCTGTGGAATCATTTCCGTAAAAGAATAATACGAAAATTCACAACTTTGGCACTTTTGGCACTTTGAGCAACGGAAAAGCAGCTGTATTTGCGTAAGGACTCGCGTGCTGCCTTGTTTACTGTATACACCTGTCGAATGTCATAGTTATCAGCTACGACTACGACCACCATGTCAAAATGCGCATTTCTAGTGAAGCTATTGTATAAAAATAACAGTAACAATGCTGCAAAACTTTGAAAATTTCGCAGTTTTAACAATTCCTGTTTTAGACCATTGACTCTATAAGCACTCGATATAAATTGACTACTTGACTCTGGTTGTCTGAAAATTTAACCAAGTGTAACGCAATTACTTCACAAACAGTCGAAAATTTTAAGTCTGCAATTCTTCAAGAGTCAATATACTGTACGATGTTGCAAGTGGTGCACCTGCAGTTGGGTATGACCCACGGTATTGTTTAAAAGGCGCATTGTTATCCGTATAACATCAGCCACAAGCGCAAGCATTTTTACTGATCTCAATCGTTCGGGCACAACATATAATCGGATTTTATTTCAATCTGTTAGCTAACACCTATGTACTGTACGTTTTACGCTCTTAATCGACGTGATTTTCAGTTGTAGGAATACTTTTAAAATGTGGTTTTTCGAGGAAAGTTGCAAATTTGGCAGACTTAAAAAATATCAGACGTTTCACAGAACTTTGATTACAGCTGGCTATTGAAAACATTCTTTATCGCTGTCATGTTTTACATTTACGAAACGGTATCTCGTACATTGCGAAAATTTCTATATAGCATTAAATCTGTGCACAAATAATGTTTGTTGCTTGCAGCGCTAAAAGCGCCTTGGTGGCGAGTTTTTGTACTATATATTTTACGGGAATATTCTGTACTGTACGTCCTGCAATGTTTTCACGTCATATTTGATTACATTTATTTTCTATAGAGAGCGTTGAGTAGGAGAACAGTAATTAAAATTATCTGCTATTTCTATCTGAAAGTTTATCGACATTAGAGATATATATACATTATATAAACGTAATTATTTATACCTTAATCATATCATTTATTGATGTATTAATAACAGATAAAATTGCAGATATATTTTAAAAGTTACATAAGCCACTACTATTTCTGAAGTCGAATGGGTCCTAGTATTTTTAATAGAGTCCTAATTTTCAGTTTTAACCTGTACTATTAACCGATACTTGTCGTATTTAAGACAACCCCTTGCATGGATAATATCTAATACATCTGAAATACAAATGATTAAAGTCATCTTTAATCATTTGTATTCTTTGTTCGACATGATAAACATTTAGAAATAATTTTTGTGATTATTACTTTTTATCTCTGAGTAATGCCACGTATCTTCACAACTCATTCCAGCTAAGCCATTTTGGAACCTCTACATATAACAGTAAGCATAAATCGTAATTTTCACGTTCTGTAGCATAGCTTTCTCCTGATATTTACTTAAATTAAGTTGTCTTAATTAATACAAACAGTAATCATTTCGAATTAAGCCTAATCCCAACGGGATAGCCGACACCTTTTTGTAAACCGAATTGCACTCGATAACCCGTAACTGGCGGCTTTCAATTCAAACATTTTCCCTTGAAAGGCGTTAGATACATGACTGGCACGATTCTATTGTTAGACGAAGAGTATGGTTTACATGCGTAAAACAGTTTTATTCTTACCTCAAAACATAATTAAGAGATTTCAGATGTTTTATGTCCTGGTTCGGAATCTGCACTTCGTCTTCTCATTCTTCTCAGCTGTATTTCCTCTTATATACATAGCATAGTTATATCAACAAAATGAGTTTAAAAAATTGATAAAAACTACAACACTATAAAACAGTCATTACCCCGTGCTTATCTACATCCATTTAGTTCGTATAAACAATGTTACTACGTTATCGTTTGGTGAGTTTTGAAAATACTTTAATGTTCGATTACAGTAGACCCCCTATAACACGGGTTTCTATAATTACAATTCCTATAAGACGGCGAAAAAATTGCGACGTACAAACCTGGTAAAAAAACTCCTATAGTTCGGTAAAACGTCATCGGGCAGCCGAACGACTTTCCGCCGTCCAGCGTCACGCTACGGAGAGTTTAGGCGAGTAAGTTGTTTACTATCGTTTGTACAGTATGTAAATTAGGTACCGTAAATCTAATACAGTACTGTAATTTTATACATTTCTTGTGAAAGAAACATTTTTTTATTCAACGACCATAAAAATTATTTATATTAATGATGTCTCCAAAGTTCAACGAGGTTTTCGGAGAAAAATAACTTATCAGAAATCGCCTGCCGTTTGGTGCGCTGCTCCGCGACGAAAACAAGCCTGAGCAATGGCGACGTCCAACAGTGCACACTCGGTAAGTAATCCTACAATTTTTTGTTTATAGCGTAGTTTATACGGATTATTTCCAAAAAAATTATACGTGTTTTGGAAATGTTGAGTCGAATTAGTCTAGAATCGATTAATTTTATGGAAGAAAACCTTTCAAACAGCCGTAGTCCGTAAACTTTACACGTGTCGGGCTGTGATTGGCTGTGATTCGTACAAAATTGATTCATAAAGAACGGAACGTATCTACCGTGTTATAGGGGGGTCGACTGTATAATAATTTATAACTAACCGATATCCGGAAATATCCTTGGTGACGTTTTAAATACAATTGAGTGAAATCGATTGTAGTCATTTTGAAAAACGTGCAAAGGATGAGGTCAATCTCTTTCCGTCATACCAACATCTTGAAGGGATGTTCAGCAGTTCAAATGCAAATATATCTGTTAGGGTAACGTTTTGCGACAGGTGTAAAACATATTTTTAAACTTACCTTTTCACTTAATTAATGTAGCAATCCGTCGGTATGCAGTTTGTAATACGTAAAAATTAAAATATTTATTTTAAAATGAAATTTAAACTTTGATCGAATTTCGAATGGTTTTGACAATATTAAACGATTCCCATCAGACCGAACACAGTCAGTTCTTATCACAACCACACCACTCGCTTATCGTTAGACAGTGGAAAGACTTCGTTATATAAGTCAGATATGTTTAGATCTAAGCTATTTAATGTTTACAAGTGTACCGAACTCGATTATGATGTTAAATGGAATTATTAAATAAATAAACGTAGCATATTTTACCCTAATGTCAACTCTAAAAAACTGTACCATTCACAGCCGAATATTAAATGGTAATCTGCCAACTACTTAAATTTCGCGAGAAAACGAATCAAATATTTAAACTCGGCACACTCCGTATCACTTAAAACATATTTTGTGCACTACGAAAACCTCGTATTATGTAATTTTCATGTTCGAATGCCACCATACCGCTGGGTCCGATAGGAAGAAGGGGCTGTTATGGAAGGGGTTCGAAGTAATTTGACCAAAAGTAGTCGTTAACCTTCCGGAAAAGGAAATAATCAACGACTTCTTATTAGTACCAGTATAAGAAATAATTATTAATTTAACTTCTGAAATAAATTAAATGCGTTATTTAAAATATTATAAGTGTGAAGATAAATTATGGCGTAAACATGTTTTTTTCCTTTTGAATCGATGTTCCCTTCACGTCAGCAGCCAAAATTAATTAAAACATGCCTCATAAAACTGATAAGAATCCGTTCACACGATCGTATAAATTAAGTTTAAACGGATCAGAATATGTCTGAAAACATCCGTAAACTCTGTTTACATCCATGATTTCGACTAGTGTTTCGTTATTTTCTATTTACGATTTAATGCTATTGATTTGGATTTTGCTTTTGATTACGCCCTGTTTGTCTTATATAATTGAACGTTGAACTTAATATTTTTTTATTAGAAACTTGTACAATGAAAAACGTTTGACTTTAATAAATTATAATGATACTATTATTAAAGTTAATAAAATGCTTACACGTCAATTATTTAAAGGGTTTATAACTTTGTTAGATTTAAATGGAAGTACTTCTGTGGGTGAGTGGTCTCCGTTGCCGCTCATCGTAGTGGTGACTAGACCCTAAAGACTGGGAGGTTCGTCGTGGGTTCGCGCCACGGTCGGACAGGCTGGCTGCTTGGAGTTTTCCGGGTTTTCTCCTTGCCTATAACGACTGAATAGGAGGCCAGTTCCCCATAAAAGTCCTCCCGGAAGGCATTTATTTCCCGCGCGTACGTATGGCTGTTCGATAGGAGGCCAGTTCCCCATAAAAGTCCTCCCGGAAGGCATTTATTTCCCGCGCGTACGTATGTCTGTTCGATACAGCCGGCTAATCGGTTGCCTGGCGATCATACACATACATAAGTCTACTCGGAGAAAGAGCCTACATTGAGCTAAACTCTAAATATAAACACCATCGAAAAAGAAAGAAATGGAAGTACTTTCTTATATGTTTGAGTAAAAAATTTACGTTGCTTACAGCTGGATGAAATTGTGTTTCTATTTCTTATCTACACATACATATTGAATGTGTCTATTTGTCTGCTTTTGAACATACACAATAACTATCCACAGGGTTACAAAGAATCGATCCGTAGGAATAATATGGTTGAAAGTGGCATGCGCGTTAGCCGAAATCAGAGTTCGTTACATTGTTACAGTAGGTATGAACAAAACCTCTCCCTACCTCACGAACATTCCAAATTTTTGCACGTGTTTCAAAATGTCTACAACCGATTTTGAATTCTTCCAATTGTATTCACAACGTAACCGAGGTGATTTATAGCTCATCGTTTAGATATAAACAATGTATTGATATAAATATACATAAATACAAGTCAAAATATTTTTAAAACTCAACAAAATGATAATATACATTGTGACATTGTTTACAAAAAATAAAAATCATATAGATAAGTCCGAGGTAACGACCGTCTTCTACGGTTATAAATATATTTATCAGTTTTGTATATATTTTTCTTAATATAATTTGCATATAAATATAAGAGCGTATAGAGCTGAGGAAATTGAGAAGTTGAAAACATTGCAATCGGGTTTTAAAGCAGCTGAAATATTATAATCGTTCTTCGACGTAAGCATTAAATTTTAGTATCCGACTTCAATAGTACAAACATTTCAAAATGACGGTTTGTGCTTTTAAATTATATCTAACAAATTCTTATATTCTCACATTATCATAAAAAATTTTAAATTAAATTTTACATTTCAAAAAATTTGCATGCGTATGTTTATTATTTTTTATTTACATATAATTGAATTTATAAAATATAAATAATTAATAAAGAGAAATGTTTGGATCGTATGTAACATATGATTATCGATTTGAATTTGCATTGAAGTGTTTCATAAATTAATATTTTATAACAGTTAAAAAGTAATATTGTTTTGTTATTATTTAAGAATGATCTATTCTAATTAACGCATATAAGTTGAATAATTTATTATAAGTTGTATAATAAATATTTCTTTATATTTACGTCAGTAAAGTTTCACGAGTTGAAACTTGTTGCATTTAATATTAAAAAATATCTCTGCTCCTCTATTTTATATAATTTATTTAGCACGTATTATAAAGAATATAAATGGAATATTTATTGCCATTGTAAATTCCTATTTTTCTAGCATTTCATTAAGCTGATCATAAAATTAGTCAACTTGCACCTTATTAAACCCAACAACTATCGCAATGCTGGTCGACTTCGGAGTTCTTAGATCAAAACCTGAATATTTTCTTTAAAGCTGTAAAAACATCTTTTTTGCCATTCTCTGTTCTTTATTAAATGAATGAGGAAATTTTAGACTTTTTAAATCGAACACCAATTTAAAAAATTTAGCCGAACAGCGTATGAGTGGTGATATGTATGCCTTACAAATAACGCCAACCAGAACGAAAACTATTATACCCCGGTGTCGAATTCATAACTGAAGAACGAATTGTCTTTCTTTTCTTTACGTGTCCATCTAACACTTAAATAGAGGCCTGTTTGTCGTAGAAAGCTTTTCGTTTAGCTGGGTCCGAGTAGATAAAACATCGAAGTCTATCAGTTGGTCTTGTATTCGAGCACGTTCATCTAAGTATTTCCTGTCTTTTCATGTGGCTAATACGTAAATTAGGATCAGTTTCATATAGGTTGATAACGTTAGCATTCAGGAAAGAATACCTTTACACATCGAAAAAATATTCGACTGTAAGATTTTTAGTGTAATTCACAGAGTGTAAACATTTTACAAATTTTCTGCTTGACTTTTGCCATTCGTTTCGGTAGTAAACTCGATAATGTAATTATGCAATTACATAACCGAGTTTAATAATGTAAGACAAACATGACGTAATCAACGGACAAAATCCAAATCAATAGAACTTATCGTAAATAGAAATTAACGAAAACAGACGTCGAAATCAAGGATGTAAAAATATGGCTTACAGATGTTTTCGGCCATATTCTGACCCCTTGAAGCTGAATTTAAAAGGTCGTGTATATATTTTTATCAGATTCATGAGGCATGATTTGATATTTCGCTGCTGATTTAAAGGTTTGACGGTAAGAAAACATGTTTTCGCCAGAATTTATTTTATTCTTTATATTATAAATAACAGATTTTATTTATTTCAAAAGTTAATAATTATATTTTTGATAAACTTTACATAAACGATTTTGTTTATATAAAGTCTAGAATTAAAATTTAAATTATTTAAACTCGTAATTTGACTGTTTAAATATACATGTTTTGTTGTGTAGCTATAAACCTACACTTTTTTCACTGAAAGCAATAGTAATTCATAGAATTATTATATAATGTTTCATACGTAACTCACGATGTACAAAATACATGATTAGATATTGCGTTCGACGTATTTACTGTCCTGTTGCACGGAGAGATTCAAACAGTAGATAAAATAATTTCATACACCGTATAAGATGTCAAGGGTCAAGATCTGACATACCTTTTGTAGAAACACAGGATGCGAAGATGCAAAAACCCGTATGATTATAGTTTGGCTATAGTGGGTAATATACGAAACACCATTTAGACTAAAACAGAGGAAATTCATGGCATCTAATTATAGATTTTCTTATATCCAATACATTCACTGATTTTTCCGTGTATATTTGCTAGTCAATCAGACTACAGATGGCAATGAAAATCAAATCAACAAAACAATATGATCGAGAAATCTCCTAGTCCAGTTTATTAGCGCGTGAGATATATTATAATTTGTAAAAGGAATCTCCAATGTTTTTCTGAGAACGTATTTCATTTGCCAGTAGATTTGTTCAAAACATACATAGAAGCAAAAGTAGAAAATATCCATGTGAAAACTTCGTAATATGTTTAAAATTCATTTCTGGCAGAGATTTTGAAGAATTTAAAAAACACTCTTCTTATTTTCCGGCTGTTATGTATAACAGAGGAAAAGTATGACAATCAGTCAAAAATGAGCAGCCAAGATTTTTATATTTTTGGACTATGGGAACACAAAACGTCGAGAAATACAAAAAAAGTTTGGGAGTTTTTTCTGTATGTACGAATGTTTGTATGTGTGGCACGATTCTGTTTATCCTGTTTGAAACTTAATAGAGAGGTTGCGACCGAAGCTTTCAACGTTCCAAACGCCATTGTCGAACTTCTAGACTCACAGGAAGGCAACACTGAACGTTTGACGTACACGTTTACGCGTTGAAAACTTCGGCCGCAACCTCTCTAATAACTAATAGCTTTTTGTTGAAAATTTATGAAATTTTGCAGAGAGATTTGATTATTAGGGGTGTTGATGCTGTTAAATTTTGGTGGCAGGGATGTTGATGTTAACGGAACCATCTTTAATGCCACCATGGTTGAATTAGACAGGCCTGTATCTACACTCCCACATCCTGCCTTAAGGAAGGGACTCTCTCCTCGTGTTACTTCTACAGAGATTGAAGCTTTTACAGATGGATCCAAGTCAACGGACGGCACGGCAAGTGCCTTTGTGATCTTTCAGGCCGGTGAGGAGGTATACAATGATTCCTTTGCTCTACACCCGGAATGCTCTGTCTTCCAAGCTGAGATCTTCGCTGTATTGATGGCAATCAACTGGTGCAACTCTAACATTGTGAACAAACTGATAAACATCTTCACAGACAGTGCTGCGACTGTTGCTGTTTTGGGGAATAAGGATAATACTCACCCTGTTGCGAACGACATCTTCGCTGCAGCTTCTACGTCTCTTAACAAGTATGCCATCAATTGGATCAAAGGACACAGCGGCATTCCAGGTAATGAAAGGGCTGACTTTCTGGCGCGAAACGTAACGACTAATCCTGATACTCCTCCCGCCTACAATCTCATTCCTAAGTCAAGACTAAAATACCTTCTCTGGGACAATGCTTTGGAAACCTGGCAAATGGATTGGGACGAGATCCCACAACAACATATAACAAGACGTTTTATCCCAAAGGTGAAGGAACGTGTTCACAGCAAATGGATTCAGCCCACACATGATTTAGCCCAATTTTTGACAGAACACGGGCGCTTTCGTGTTTACCTGAAAAGGTTTCACCACTCTAATTCTGACTGCTGTCAGCTGTGTGGGGTGCGGGACGGTGTCATGCACTATTTATACAACTGCCCTATGCTGGATGACATCAGGTATCAGTGCATGCAGCATGCCAATAGGAACAATATTGACTGGCCAGTAAAGCCTGATTTTTTCTTAAAAAACAACAGCAACTTTAACTTGTTAAAGGAATTTGTTTCACTCTACTCTATTAGATGTGGGATCCGTTGACTTGGTCTCTTGTGATCTGATTCACTCTAGCCTTGATGCCAATGTATATTCACACCTTGCTCTGCTATAACAGCATGTAGACCTTCATGTACAGAAATGTTACTTTAGTTATAGTATAGACTACTTTTATTTTTATTCTTTTATTTTTTAATCTTTTGTATTTATTTTATTTTATTTTACTTTCCCTTTTCTCTGCCATTATATTATTGTATCCCTTCTATGACTAACAGCATGTATCTAAAATCTATTTTTCTGTATTTTTGCCTGGTTGTGCTCAGCGGTGCCAGACAATAAAGATTATTTTGACTGACTGACTGACTGTTAAATTTTGGTAATTAAAAGTCGAAGTGGTGAAGAGGTAAAGAGGGTGATTTGTATATCCAGTAGAGTCGGATTTAATGACAATTTTACACGTTATTAGCATATACAATGTTTTATAAAACCCGTCCCAACACTGAAAGTTAAGCTTATTGCCATTTTATAATAGGTAAAATTATAATAAGTTTTATAAATGAATTTATCGTAACAGATGGCGCAACAAAATTTTACTGGTAAAGTCAAGCAACTCGTTGTTAAATGTTTAAAATAAGTTTTGTATAAAATCATTCGCAGCAAGATCTATTAAATCTATCTGAGTTTTCAAAAGTTTACATACACAACTCGGTATAAACAAGTTATGCCGGACCAGATAAATATGTTTCTGTTGCCTAATATTCGAGAAAACTCGCATACAAAAGCAATAATTTATTAAATAGCACGTTGGCCAGGACGAGATTAATATCTAAAAAATAGAAGACACTATAAACGTCTTCATTACTTCCTGTCACACTCCTTAAGAACAAAACTGTTTTTCACAGTAGAGTCGACCTTTTATTAGAGTATATGTATTGAAAAACATTTCAGGGAGCAGTTTTATTTTCGAGTTGTGTGGAAGGACGTATTGAATATGTTTATAGTGTTTTCTATTTTTTAAACAAATTATTAATTTATCTGTTATTAATGAATGTGTGAAATCCGCGAATCTGAACGCAGTTGTCGAAAAAAGAAATGTAAACAACTCCCATAGAAAAAAAAGCTCCTTGTGAGAATTAGATCCAAGGTCACCGTTTGCGATAACAATTATATGGGAAAGTTGACACATAGCTGTCAAGAATGCACCGTTATTGTCAACAGTTGACGATCATGTGACTGCTTTCCCACAACAATCGAATAAAAGCTCGAGCCACCGGAGGCTCGGGGCGCTAGAAAGAAAGTTATACTTGTCAATGTGTGCATTTCTTCTCCCAGACCTCCATAGAACGAACTCAAACGGACGAAAAGAGAAGACAGACCACGGCTTCTAACTTCCATTCTTATCGCCATACTACAGTTATACGCCGGACTACGATTCCTACGAACAATTCGACGCATGCCATTCGTTCCTCATAGAGGTATTTTTATTAGAGCATTGTGAACTCTCTCTCGCTCAGAGAATAGGCTGAGCCCCTCGGTATATTTATCTCATATTTAATCGCATTTAACCGACTTTGTTAACTTTAGATTTTGATAAATGCTTTGTTTATTTGTTAAACCTCTCTCCTGTTTTTGAAAGGACGCCTGCCGACTCGCTCGCCTCCCTCGCCACTCGATTAAAAAGCCATCCGAAACGACAACGTAAGCGGTCCTCGAAGACTGCTGCCGAGTAAGTGGTCAGATGGATTAACCCTTGGCTTAAGGTATCTCACAAATGTATTCAGCAATTATCTGATCTTTTTAATCAAGGTCGTTTACCAAAGATAATAATGTCATGTGCGATATTTTTTGAATGAAGTAATTCAGAAATGTCTTCATTAGGCCAACAGACATTATATGAGGCCCCTGCCTACCGTTAATTGGCAATCAGACACACAAAATAATTATTTTTAAGTTACTTTTTGTATTTCTATAATTGTCATTGTAAAAAAATTTACCTCAATCTATTTTAACTGCAGTAGTAAGAAAACACCTCGCAAGAGGGCAATATCGTCGCTTTGATTTTTTGATTGCGTGTATATGAACAACTCTCTGCATTTTTATTTACCTACAAAAAGTTGCCACTTACTGATCGAGCAGAACCGATTCGTGGACCGATAAAGGTAAAAAGAATTATAATTTTCACATTGTTTTACTTCGAACTTCGACGGATCAAGTAAACAATTAATTTAGGCCGCACGTGCTTAATTTTAATTATTCGCTCGGAATTAATCTAAATATTAGCAATTTTATATTTATTTTTCTATGAATTTGTTTTAGTTTAAGTTTAAAAGGATTATTTACTATTGTTTAATATTTATATGTATATGTTACCGCTAAAGCTCGAAATCCGTTAATGTGCGCATTACCTAGCTAATCTGCGGATTAACTAGGGTGATCCGTTAAAGCTGCGAAAATTATTCCATTTCTCAAATTACCTAGGTAATGTTCAGATTATCTAGGTAATCTGCAAATTACATACTAGGCACTCGGTAAAGTGAAAATAAGATTTTTGCTGGAACAACAGCAACGTTTCTGTACGCTTAAATTAACATAATGTTATTTATTTAATTTTCAATATCTAAAGAATCAAGTTAATACAATCAACAAATTAGTTGATTGAATCAATCATCAATCAATTAAAAAAACTTTAATACAAAAATCAAACGGTTTAAAATATTACTACAATTAGGGAAATGAATTTGCAAAACATATGATAAAATTGTACTTACTTATTAGTGCAATCTAAAGATTGGTGACACTTTGAATTACGTAGCAATTGGTTTTTGCGACAAGCACGCCTATTTGTGGTACATTTAGATTTGCAGTCACATTTTCTGAAACCCTGCCCAGTACCAAGGGATTGTTTTATTGCTGTTTGACGTAAAGATATTTCTACAGCAGGGACATCCATCTTCTTTCGTTAAAAATCTCTCTTTGCAAACACTGAATTCAGATTTTGCATACAATTGTTTTAAAATACCTGTTTTAGTATCAAGTTTATAAAAGCCATCCTCTGTTTTACTAAGAACCACAGCTAAAATTGAACGTGCATCAGTTTTTGCTCTGTCTTCTTCGGGTACTTTAATTCTCACAGCGAAACCTTCATCGACGTTTGGGTGCTTTGCATTAGAAACTGCTAACATTTTCTTTGCTTGCTTTTCTAAACATTTCTTGGCTTCATCACGCTGTATTTTCTGATCCATATTCTTTTTACAGATGATGCACAATACATTCTTACCATACCCTTCCTCTTTAGGATCTACTTCACCACAAACTGCGTGAACAAACATATTACACGATTTACACTTGTGAGCACTTGATGCTGCTTTTGAGCAAACAATACAGACTATGTCTTGTATAGTGCTCTTTACAGGCTCCGTACGAAACTGTGATGGCGATTCTGCTGAAGTTGAGAGTAACTCAGTGATGACTTCTTCAACTTGCAGAGGCGATTCCTTGGAGGTGCAGGGTAACTGAATATTCTTCGTGACTGCATCATCAATCAACGGTATAGAAGGCAGTTTAAGATTACTATCGGTAAATTCTTGTATTTCTATAGGTGATTCTGTAGAAGCGGGGGATAACGGAATGTCCTCTTGAGTAAGATTTGACTGTGATCTCATAATCACAGTCTCTTGTGAATCTTCTAATTTTTCAAGGTCTTCTTCAGTTTTTATCGAATGTCAAACAATTCTCCGGCATGGACAAACTTTTTCAAACCTTTCTCGCGCATCTGACAACGGCTCAATGAGTTTTTCACAGCCTCGTACAGTCAACACATCACACCTTTGAATTATTTGATAATCTCGAGATGATTCTTTCTTCTTGGAAACTTTTATTTGCTTTACATCTTCAATTATGGAATCATACTTTGGTTTGTTATTAAAACACTACGTATTATATTTTAAATCTTCGCTAAAGAGGTTTGCGAAGAATCTTTTCTTGATTTTACTCACCAATTCGGTGCTTGCTTGCATTCTAGGATTTAAATTTATCTACGTAAAAAGAAGGAGTGGGGAAAGGAAGTGAAAGAAACAAACTTTTGAACTTTAACGATACGGAAGCCGTTAATGTGCAGATTACCTAGATACTCTGCAAATTACCTAGGTAATTTGAGAAATTGAACAATTTTCGCAGCTTTAACGGATCACCCTAGTTAATCTGCAGATTAGCTAGGTAATGTACACATTAACGGATTTCGAGCTTTAGCGGTAACATATACATTAAAATTTCATCACATGTAAACTCCCTGCACGTGTTTACTCTATTGTCAATTCCATAAAAATACGCTCCATTTTTCAAGGCACTTGTTCAGGTCTCGCAATTTATTCCGGTGTCATATATATATATATATATATTATATTTTTTCGTTTAACATTAAACATTAGACTGACATCAGCCTTTGATCGGCATTCTCACCCGTAACACTTCGTGGTGATTAATGCTTTTCTGTATTTCATACACCCTAATTACTTTCAAACATAGCACCAAACGCAAGAGTGGTTTTGACGGACCAAAGAAAGCCTTAAAATTCTTAATTTAAAAGAAAAACTTAAACTTTTACATTTAGTAAAAAGAGAAAAAGTTTGATTCACACTATTATGCTATTTATTGACAATAAAGCGCTTATTTGCATTATTCGCATAAAAAATCGTGATAGGTATGTTACAATTAAAAGGACTTATAATTAATAAAAGATTACTATTTTACGTGAATTGCCGTTTTAAGCAAAAGTCTTGAAACGTATGTTTTACTATCATTTACAAAATTAGTATGAATACCAATACAGATGATAAACAGGCTTAAAGAGATAACGAGTAGAATACACGAAATGTTGGTCAGCGTCGAAGATCTCTGTACATACGTATATACAGTGTAAACAAATACAAACTTCGAATGGATCTGTATCATATATCTGATCATTCAGATATATTCAGAGTTATTCTTAGATAAGTTATTATACTCTTTTGAATATTAATAATATTGCGATACAATACATCAGGAAATGATATATTATCTCGATACTGTTAGCCTTATAGTGGTATTCGAATGCCACACAATCTCTCCTATCGATGCTGTCACTTGATATTTACTTTTCTATCAAAAATTTAACTTCTCTCTTGATAAGCAGTCGTAAAAATAGTAGCGCACCATTATCAGAGATATATTTCGATAGAGAAACTAAAGTTTTTTTTTTCTTCTATATAAATATCTTGTTTATCTGACTCGACTTTACTATAAATTTCAGTCAAGTATGGAAGGATCAGCTGAAGATTACGATAAAGTACCAAGAAACGTAGTACATCTCTATATAAGATCATGTCTGGATTTCCAGTTTTCAACCATGGAATGGTTTGACGACGATATTATGTTGGATATTGGATGTGGTCCAGGAAGCGTTACCAAAGACATTCTCTTACCAAAATGCCCAAAATTGAAAAAACTCGTTGCTATCGACGTAGATCCTAGTAGCATCGAGTATGCCCGAAAGACCAATTTTGCCGATAAAATAGAATATAAAACACAAGATATTATAAAAGGGTGAGTCACTATTAACATTAATTTTACAAAAACAACAGGGCGTTAAATACAGTTGACCCCCCTATAAAACGGGTTCCTATAATTACGATTCCTATAAAACTGCGAAAAAATTGCGACGGTATTTGTAAAAAACGATAAAAACACTTCTATAATTACGTAAAACGCCATCGGGCAGCCGAACTACCATCCTGCGCCACGCTACGGAGAGATTACTATCGTCTGTACAGTATTATATATAAATTAGGTACTGTACATATAATTATATATTAATTATATATAAATTAGGTACTGTATATATAATTATATATTAACTTATTGTAACTTTGTTATAATTAAATATATAATTTCCGCCGTCTAGCGTGGCGCCACGCTACGGAGATTTTTACGCTAACTATCGTCTGTACAGTATGTAAATTAGGTACCGTAAGTCTAATACAGTACTGTAATTTTATACATTTCTTGTGAAAGAAACATTTCTTATTTAACGGCGATAAAAATTATTTATATTAATGATGTCTCCAAAGTTCAGCGAAGTTTTCGCAGAAAAATAACATCAGAAATCGCGGCCGCAGTTTGCTGCGCTGATCCGCGACGAAAACAAGCTTGAGCAACAGCGATGACGAATGGTGCACATTCGGTAAGTAATCCTACAATTTTTTGTTTATAGCGTGGTTTATACAAATTATTTCCAAAAAATATATACGTATTTTGGAAATGTTGAGTGGGATTAGTCTAGAATCGATTAATTTTATGAAAGAAAACCTTTCAAACAGCCGTAGTCCATAAACTTCACACGTGTCGGGCTGTGATTGGCAAAGACTCGTAAGAAATGGGATTCATAATGAACGAAACGTATCTACCGCTTTATAGGGGGGGGTCGACTGTAATTGCGATAACTTTAACTTTAAAAGGCATATTTATAAAATTATAATAAGAAATGCCACAAGGATAATAACCCCAATTAAAAAACCCACGAATTAAAAAATAATAACAAAAATACAACTAAAACTTTACATTGTTAGTAGGCTATAACTGCAGTATTTTCTTATAACATAACTTATACTTTTGAAAATTGAGTTAAAATTAATTATGCACTGTACTTCAAAAATGGTTTTCAATGTGATTTCAGCACACACACACTCAAACACACACACATATCCAATTCAACGAAATTCTTCTTTGTTTTGCTTTTCTAGTACGGCAATGTACAGATGAATTTTATATAAAATTTATCTATTCTGTATGATACAACACGAAATACATAACAATATCCTTTTGTTTTCGGTATGGCTAAGTATACAACAATATTTCTTTAATTAGAAATTGTGCATAATACAATTAATTAATTACTTGTTATTTTTAGCATGGATTTGGAAAAAAATAGAAAATACGATAAAATTGTATCATTTTTCGCCTTTCAACTTATATCTGATTTCAAAAAATTATTTCCTGTTATTTCCTCGATTCTGAAACCTGGAGGGTTTTTTTTCTTTATTATTGTTACAAAATCTCACATGTTTACATTCATGCGTGAATTGGAGGCCATCAAAGAGTGGTCGAAGTACATCAAGGTATGGAAATTTTTCTTTCATTTTATATTCAACATGAATGAAAATAAAACTTAATTGCAGACCGAGGAGTTGCTTTCCTTAATTCCGCCGACTGCAAATTGGGAGGATGCAGAAAGTGAGTTTAAAACATTTGTTTCCGAGTTTGAATTGCGAGTGACAAACAGTAAATGCGATGTTATAACTATGCCATTTGTTGATAAAAAGCAGTTTTTGGGTAAATATGTCATTATTATAACATTGATAATGTATTTAACTTACTTTATTAAATTGTAATTTTTATGAAATTACAAATGCAAGTAATTTTTTAATTAACTTAAAATGTTTATCTGTTTAAAAACTGCAATGTAGCACAGTAATCAACACATGGCATAACTCATTCATTTATTCAAGCTTTTGTTGATTATAATAAAAAATACCTCAGAAGAACTTAGTTTTTAGTTTAACTTGAATATTAGACTATATTCCAAATTTATCCTTACATACTCATTTACTTAGGTTTTCTTAAGTATCTGGAAAAGCCTCTTATGAGCTTCTAGCACATTTTCCTTATTTAATATTTATATCGATACTGATTTATATAAATTTTATATTATTAAACTTGTCATTTTTATTAACTCTTTGTATTTATATATTATTATTAATAATCCTTACCGAAGTAACTAGACTTCTCTTTCTTAATTTCGTTCTTTCAGCTCTTCGATTCTAGAGTCGTTTCCATTCTATGATGATTTACATAACTATGTGGTTTCCGGTAGGCAGGATTTAATTATGTTACTTATTTCTTTTAAATACCATTCCAAAATATTTTAAATTTTTTCTTTTTTATTTTCAAAAATTCTCCTTTTTTTCAAATAATTTTTCTTTTCAAATTCTTTTATAATATTTTTAGCCAATTCTCGTTAATTTTTAAACTTAAATTTTTATTTATACAATGTTTATTTTTTATAATTTCTATACTCTCTTTAAATTTTCTGTGATAAGTTTCTTTTTCTTTATGTAGGATTTTTACATTATTTTGGTCAATATTACAATTATTCAACGTGCAATGTTCGAGAAAGGCTGAATTAATTCTATTATGTTTTAGATCTGCTATATGTTCTTTTAGTCTAACTTCCATTTTTCTCTTCGTTTCTCCTATGTAATATTTTTTATTTTCACATGTACATGGAATTTGGTATACTACGTTTTTAGTATCTTTCACTTGTTGTCTTCCTGTTGATCTAGTTGTATTATTATTATTTAATCTGGCAAAAAAAATTTTATATTTCGGGGCAAGTTTTACATTAGTATGTCTTATTTCTTTACTAATTTTTTCATATAAACCTTTTATATAAGGAAATGGAATATATTTCATTTTATTGTCATTTGAAATTTTTCCATTATCTATTTCATGCTTTTCAGGATTCTTTTTATTATTTACGTTGTTGATTTTTTCTTCCCAGTTTGTAAGTAACCTGTTGGGTTAAAATGTTTACTTAATATCGGCCCATTTCTAAATATGTATTTATTCTTTCGTAATTTACGTGTGACAAATAAACTAACTTTAAAGTAAGTCAGTGAGAAAAACTAACGATTAACCTTCTTTCACTGTTTACTCTTTGTTTGATATTTGTTTAAAGTAAAAGATCCTGACATATAGAAAGCGGTATAATATCAAACGTTTGTCTGTAGATCTGTTTGTAAATGCCAGTGTTTTCGATAGTTTATAAAATTGATGCTGCCAAAATGGCTCTGTCTACTCTTTTTCTATATAGAATTCGTTAAGGAAAACTTATAAACATCTTACTTCATTTATAATTCATTTAAATTATTTTCAGATTTTTTATGGCCATATTGCCTAAAGCCGTGTTTAAGAATATGGAACCAGACGTCAAACGCCGTCTTTGGAAAGTGGCCGAACCAATTGCTCTCAGATCTTTTTTCCAAGGTAAAAATGGCGAGGGTGTACATTCTTACGAAGTTTTGCAAGTTTCGGGATATAAGGAAGTGTAGTAATTAATTATCTTCATTACTTTACAACATGTCAATAATTGGATTTGTTTTATGAAATATGTTACAAACCAATAAAGATAATTTTAAATTTAACAGTTTTAATGATTCAATTTTTATTAAATTATTTACACAATTACTTAAATTAATTATTTGAAACTGTGACGAGACAGCCGAATATTGTTTTATCAATATAAATAATTCTTTTAGGAAATTCAGGAATAAATGAATTAATCACTTTAAAAATAATGAAAGTAATTTATAAATGATCAGTTTTCTGCAATTATACTAAACATTTATCATGCCAATAGTATAGCACAACATCAGGGACGTGCACGTTATATTTCTTCTCTTGAGTAAAAGTTGTGATTCCATAAATCTAATGGCCAACATAACGCACTGCAAAGCTCAGTCGCCTTTCCATACGGGAGATTGTCAATTTTGCTGTGCCTGTATTTTAATGTTCGCATGATTTGCAGACTTGCAGAATATATCTAATTGATTCTAGTGTAACAGACATCTGTAGTGAAAATGTAACCTGAATAGATGTCATACCAAAGGATGTAGCTGTTCTCAATATTGCCCTGTCATCTATGGAAGAAAGATTTTTGGCCTACCACAGCGTTTAGCTTTGCCATTCAGATTGTCAGTATACTTTATGTAATTGTGAAGTATCATTTTTGATCCTCTTAGTAGGTCTGCAATGACACGTTCAGATTTCCCACAGTGTGAATGCATGCATCTTGCCTTTTTTTATCTGTTAATGTTTTACCAGATTCTATTTTTACTGAAGATTAAAAACACACAACACGTACATAACTAAATTAGATTTCAAAGCCTTTTGTAACATAATTGTATTTAGAATCTTGTAAAATATCAATTTTTGATCCTGATCTCAAACTTTTTCCAAACATCTTGTAAGCAATAATTTGTTGTATTTGAATTTCTTATATAAGACTTCATTGAATACTTCATCTTTGAATTGTGGTTATTTCAATACCTGAACAACATCATATTTACAGAAGATCACTTAGTTTAATGGGAATATTGAAACCCCAGTGATTTTAAGCTGTTTTCCAATAAAACCCTTAAGTACTGTATTCGAAACAACTGTTAAGTATTCTAATTCTGTTTGTATTCTCTTGTAATACCTTGTTTTTATATTTTATGTAAAACTTGTTCAGTTATCTAAATACTTGCTTTATCTCGTGTATCGCCGACAACTTATGGACGACCTTATCAATAAAGTAATCAAAAATTCATTTAAGTTTATGATTTTTATCAACTTTTGTTTCAACTACAAACCGTTCTTTCCGTTTGCGTATTATCATCCACTTCGACCTTAAATTTTTCTTTAAAGCAATTTATATACATATAACTAACACCCTATTCTTGCCGAGAAATATAAATTTATTCCAAACAAACGTTTTCAACCTGATTTACAGGCCATCGTCAGGTTTATAACCAAATTCGAATTAAAGGATTCCATTAATGGAATACAAAATTAAAAATTCAAAATTAACTAAGCAACGGAATAAGATAAAATAAAATTAAAATATTGAATATCCAACGGAATAACATAAAACAAAAATATAAAAATATAAAAATGTACATAGAAGTATTAATACAATTATTACGACTGGTTAGAGCTCTTATTAAACTTCTTAACTATAAACTTCCATGCAGAGGGAAGACTTTCTGCATCCCTCGCATTTAAACAGCCTTCCTGTATTTTACTCCTATAAATCTGCAACTTTTCTGCTGTCAACGCCAAAGATGGAGAAGATAAAGGTTTTATGATGGCTGCTTCATTCCATTTGACTACAGATCCTGGTGTTTGCGCCATTTTTAACAAAATCGTTGCATTAGATTCCTTTCTGATATTATAACTATGTTCCTTAATTTTAAGTCCTAAACTCCTGGTGGTTACTTCAATGTAGTCTTTTTTAACGCCCAATTGCATATTCTCATAAGGTATTCTATAAACCCCTGCTTTCTCTTCTGACTTTATATCATCCTTATTATTCCTGAGGATTTTGTATAAATTACGGGCCCATTTTGTAAGCATCCTCGAACCTTTTCTGCGAGCAATCTTTTTCATAACAGTATTCATACTTTCATTATATGTAAATTTTACGATTCTAGTGGGAGCATTTTTAAAAGACCCTTTCTTGATGTTCGCTTTATACTTCCTGACTATTCCCAGAATTGCGCTTTTTCGGTAACCTAGGGTCTTGGCGACGCTTATTATTCTATTTATTTCTTTATTCCTGTCTAGTATTGTTTCATAATATAAAAATGCTCTTCTTATTAAAGCTCTGAAGGCTACAATTTTATATTTATACGGACCCTTGGATTGGGAGGAAATATACAATAGGCTGTGGGATGGTTTAATGAAAACGCTAGTGGACAGATGGCCTTTTTGAATTTAATACCGATGTCTAGAAAATGCAGATCCAAGGAACTCTTCTGCTCCAATCTTAAAGTAAGGCCATCATTGTTATCATTAATCTTATCTAAAAAATCTTTAATCCTGCTGTTATTTCTCCATAATATAAGTAGGTCATTAACGTATCTGCTAAAATACATGACATCCTCCTTAAAACCAAGAAAAATTCTTCTAAAACCGTGCTAGTAATTATTAGTAGTGATTCAAACACAAATTATTTATTGTATTTATTTTCAGGCATTTGCCAAGTTTTATCATCAAATTTTATTTAGTTAATACGTGTTGATATTATTTACACACGTTTCGGGCATTCATTGCCCTTCCTCAGTCAACTAAAAACAAAAGTTCATAAGTTACAACATTATAAAATTATAAACAACAAACATATTAGGTATTGTTTCTTTAAAAACATACCTTTTAAATTATAGGTTATTGAGATATTAAAACCACAAATTTCCATTGCCCATTTTACTTGTTATCATGGAATTACAAAATTTTTTGGCTTTTAACACTTTTTTTCTAAAAAAACATTCGGTTTCGTATTATCTAAAATATTTTAAAAACTTTTTATATGAATTTTCTCTTATACATTTACATGATAACAATACAATAAATTACGTACCTAATTGTCTGTTTTGCACTGTTATAAAATTTAAACAATTTCAAATTTTTCTTACACATTTACTATTAATTTTACAACAATACTAAAATTTACATATTTGTCTTTCATCAGAACCAAGCAATTCCCGTTTTACAAACATATTAGGATAACCTCT